GGCATAAGGCATATCTGTATTGCAAGGCTACTTTACAATAATTGGATAGACTTACCCATTTTTTTCCTTTTAAATGTGCAATTATTTCCCCAAATGTCAGACTTTTTCCAAAATATTTTCTCCTAAGTTCCTCCAGAACATGCAAAAATCAAGGAAATGCACGATATTTTCTATTTCATTGCTATTGCATAATGAACATAATTTAGTATTTGTTTCATAATATACCGTACAGTTTAATTTTTCTTAAATATACTACCAACAGTATCAATAGTATAAAATTGACAACCTACAGAAACACGCTAACACTTCTATCTGACAATACACACACAAATTCATTATATTTCACACATACACGGTAATATTCACATCAGCTAACAATCAAAATTTACAACAAAAAAAAAATCATACACACACAGCATTATTTATGACGTTTATTACCGAATATATATATATACACATGCCTATCATTCTAATCAAATTATATTTACCATCCTACAACATATACATTCGTCATCTATATGCAGTTATAGCTAACATTTCCTATCACCCAAAATATACATACGTTTCATAAATACACAGCATTATATCCATCATTAATCGTTGACTATCGAACAGAATTTTCATACAATAATTAAACATACAGCTTTCAAATCAACCAATACTTACTAGTAAACACATACATTCATTACATGTAATTACTATACAATATTATTCAGAAGAAAATACATCCTCATTGAAGTATACCTATCCGGAATAATTCACAATATCATTCATTCATAACATATACTGCATACTACATATACTCATGGTAGGTATATCGAACACATACTTTTCCAGTATTATCCAAGTGAGTTAGCTTTTACTTTAAAAGTACATATACCATCACGCAATACATTCAAAATATATGATTAACAACTCTGATTGTGAATTTGTCTTTAGCGAAGTCGTATTTTTTAATATCTTGAAATCCATGTATATGAATCGAATAGGCTTAATGAATCCATTTTAGAATTTTTAAAAGTAAGGCGTGAGCAAAAGAGAGATCAGTGTTTTTCGGACTCAGGGGGCTCTGGAACGTATATATCCGCCGAAAACCGCATATCGGAAATCTGACCCGATCGCAATACTTTCCTTACCTAGTATAGGTAGGAAAGTAAAAAAAGATGAGCAATAAGGTCACAATACTGTAAAATAGTTGCTACGAACAACAAAGTATGAAATAACTAAATGAAATTAGAAAAGAACGATAAATTATTTTTGTTGTCAAACCATTTTAGTAATGACAAAAATAATAATAAAGGGATTTAACGTGACTCCTCATTTGCACTACCAGAAAAATAGGATGGACCTAGCCTTAAATGGGCTTTGATTAGGCAACTTTACTGAGTTACGTTTAGCCTTAATCCGTTAGCATTTGCCCAGGTAGAGATCCGATTTAGGTCTTCTTGTATTTTGGTAAAAGCATCATACCACTTAGAGGGATCGAAGGAAAGGTGAATTTGTTAATCATCGGCATAAAGGTGATGAGAACAGTGAAGGTCGTTAATATAGGAACTAAAAAGGAGATCAGATATGCCATTCCTGAGGACAGGGTTAGATAGGAAGATAAAGGTCGGTTAGGAATAGCGACTGCTTGGGTACCTTCAAAGATAAAAGATTGAATCCAAAGCATAGAGCTGCTGGAAAAGGATAACGATTTTAATTTGGAGAAAATGATGGTATGGTTAATGGCATCAAAGGCTTTGGTTTGGTATCTTTATCTTATGTTAGATAAAAAATAGTTTGACGATATCTATTATCTTTTTATTGAATAAATTATTATAAATATCTTTTAGCAGACCTTGTTTAGAATTACTCTCCTTATTATCTAAGATAAAGATAAAGGAAATTATTCTTATCTGTTATTTGAAATTCGAATAAACTATTCGTTATCTATTATTTAAGATACATTTTCCCAAAACTGTTATGTAGTTTTTTTGTTAAATCTTATTTTATCGAGAGAAAAGTACATCTAGTAAATGTAAGAGAGAAAAGTACATTTTATTCAATGAAGAGCATTGAATATTTAAGATGTACGAGACTCATTCATATTATATATATATATATATATATATATAATAGCAACCGTAGAACATTATAGTAGACAATTATAACAAAAGAAAACTTGAAACATGAGACAACATTAAATAAAAATATAAAAACACATTTATAATTATTTACAATAATTACAGTCAGCCGAGGCAACTCCAAGTCGGTGGAGGATAAAGCAAAACTCCCTAAAGGGGATAAAGAGGTCCCAACGCTTCTTGTGGAACTGAGAGAGAGCAATAAACCACATACGCTCATGACTTGAGTGGAGAAGCAAAAAGTTCTCGAAGCCACTGCCGTTTCAACCTTCGAGGAGGATTGTACGGATGACTGGAACTGGATAAGGATTGTGTTAAGGGATTAGTATGATGGATTAGATTCTGATGAAAATTCAAGAATCGGAATCCAATAAAGTCAAGGATATTAGGGATGTTAAGGTCGTGATGTAGAGTTTTATTTGTAACATTATAAGTTGCATTGACTGAGCATTACTGTTATGTAGTAATTTAATAGATGATTCAATGCTTAATGAACACAATAAAACTGAATCTTTCATTAATGACAAGGAACATATTAATTGATAATAAGAAACTGAAAGGTAACACACCTGTTACCTAATAGCAGTGTGGGGCGAAATGTATCTTAAATAATAGATAATACAATAGATAACGAATGGTTCATTCGTATTTTCTACTACAAAAAACGAATATTTTTGTTTTTATTTTGTCTAAATAATAAATAACTTCATGTTATCAATTATTCTTTTATTAATTAATCGAGTTCTTCAAATAAATTTGGAATAATATAACAGTAAATAAACTGTTTAGAGGTAGGCGAAAATGGGGAAATGGAAGATTCTGTACCGCAGCCAACTCGAAATATGCGATCAGAGCTGAGGACTAAGTACAAGGACTGGGGTAGAGGGGTTTTCAGCTTGGAAAGAAGCCCGTGCCATACCTGGTCGAAAGCTTGAGCTATGTCCCGAAATACACCCGAGCAATATTGCTTGCTTTCCAGCTCTGCGGAAATATGATCGATCACTTGCAGTCCTTGTTGGGCTGTGGAGTGTTGTGAACGAGATCCGAGCAGAGGAAAGGAAGAATTTGGGATTCTATAAAGGGTCGGATTTGTTTCAGAAGGATCTTTTCAAGGATTTTTGAGAGGATTGGAAGTAGACTGATTGGTCTGTAGCAAGTCAAGGTTTTGGGAGGTTTGCCTGGTTTTGCAAATTGGATAATAGTATTAGGTGGTTCGTAGCATGGTATTGTATATGTAAATGAGGAATATAATAGCTTTAGGAGGAAGTCGTCGGAGAAGTTCGGTAAGGAATTTTTTGTAAGTGATGTTTGACCTCAGAAGGATTAAGTGGTTTAGGGGATAAGGAGAGTGAAAATGGTATAGATTTTCCTAGTTTAAATTCGCTTTTCCTCTTGTATCTCTTGAATAGGTGCTCGGTTTTTTTCCGTTCCAGCAGTTTCTCAACTGAGGTTAAAAAAAAATGGAGAAACACAAGGATATTAGCCTTTTTTTTATTGAGGAAACCGATATATAGAGACCCTCATTTCTACTCAAAATAGTGTAGTAAGTGGAAGCTGTGTGATACCGAAAATATTCTTCTTTTCAGCTCTTTAAAAAAACTAAACACTTTTAAGTATCTTAAAAATTGCTTTCATCTCAATAAATGTTACTGTTTTCATCCATTTATTTTATAATTTTAGATTTTATATTTAATTTAATTATTTATAATAATTTATTTAATTATAATTGTTTTTACTATCAATGTAATAGAGTGTTGGACTAGAAATTTCAAAGTATTATTAACAATTTTTCATTGAAAATTACTTTTTACATTATATTCCTCAAGATTCCAGAGTTAAATTATTCCTTAGTTAGTAACATTACGGAGTAAATTGTACGGTAAATGGTGCCCCGAGATACTACCATGTCTCTCACCACTACACTGAGTTAGAGTGGCTCTTCCCCTCCATCCGAAGACAATATTTCCTAGGTACATTCCTCTATCATATCATCAACAATCATCGTCCTTCTTACGCCTACAACCTTCTCCAATTCAAATCCTCAGTCCACTCCCTTTCCACAAGATCTCGACCTTCCGACCTTTACATTCCTTCTCACAGATCTGCCTCGTTCCAAACTCCTTCATAGCTCGCTCTGTTAATTTTTGGAATTCCCTTCCTATCAAAATTCGGCATTCTTCATCCCTGTCTACATTCTAAACCTTCCTATTCCAATTCCTGTCCAAAAATAGTCAGATAACCACTAACTTTATATGTAAAATTACATTTTATTCATAATAATGTATTTACATACAGCTCATAACTGAAATACTTATTAGCAGATTCGACTTTTTTTTTTTTTTTTTCAACAGAAACACAGAGTTTACTGCTAAGAAGATTGTATTGTATTTTTCATTTTTTCTAAAAGTGTATATTTATATTTTACAATTGTACGGAGTTTTAAGTGTCTTGGCAAGGTTTCAAGAGTTTTGTATATAGATTTTTTTATTTTGTATATAGTATGTATAACTAATATTTTCTTTACTGATTTATCTTTTACCTTTACTTTTTATGTTTGTTTTTATTTAGCCAGATATTACATTTTAATTTTGTAATTTTTTGTTATTCTGAAGGGACTTCGTCCCAGAATAAAATTATTTTCTATTCTATTTCTATTATATTCTAACATAAAAATAAAATTCACAAATTAGACATTATTCACAAAAATTATATGTATACCCATATATGTAAAAAATTATACATTAGTCCATTTACCTAGATTTACTTAAAATAACGTTGTATCTATCTAAAGGATATTGACTAATCCTAGAATCTCGAAAGAGAGAATATAAAAAATTGTTTGACCATTTCTGATTTTTTTTCTGTACCCTGTAGGATGATTTTCGACTAGAATCTTCTGTAACTGAAAACGTGAATACAGAAATAGCTCTGCAGAGAGACTCCACTGAAGGAGAATTAACAATGGAAGAAGACTCCACTAGAGAAGATGATGTCCTCCCTCCAACTCAATCATATATTGTTAGAAAGGTGAACATGTTTTAACAGGCTACTGGTATATTTCATGGTATTTATTTTTTTTTATGTTAATTAAACAAAATGTCAATTAACAGTATTTTTTTACATAAATATTCAATTTTGTGTTCATAATCTTAACGTACTTTTAAAACATAAATTATAGAATTTTTCTGCATTATAAAATATTATGTAGGGCGTAGCTCAGTGGTAGGGCGCTAAGCTTCCAATGCTGGAGGTCCCAGGTTCGAATCCCGGCTCATGGCAGAAAAATTTATTCTGTTTTATTGGCCATGGGGCGACCCTGGGGTAGCGAGACCCTCCTGTGGGGCACACCCAGCCTCTACAAAGTGGGTGCCTTTAATTAAATAATTGATTAAGAGGGAAAACCTGAGGGTTGTCCTTGAGCGTGATCCTGGACCGATCCCCTCCTTGTTCAACCGTTGCCCTTGAAACAGTACTTTCCCTAATTAGTACTGAACCCAAGACCCTTCATGAGTTGTAGTGGTATAGGTTTTATTATTTGATAAGCAAAAATTTACATTATCTTGAAAATAATAATGATGATATAATAAAAGATTTGGGCTATATTTATCAATCATTTTCACTTAATATGTATTCAATTAAATATAGCCTAAACCTTTTTATTATGAGTCTAATTTCATCTTAAAATAAATAGAAATAATGATGATAATGATGATCGATGTACAACTAATATTCTAAGCCATATCAATTTTATACTGGTGTTTTAATATTTGTTTTTAGATTGACGATGAAGACAGTTTATCCCCCGAAGAAGAGAAAGCTGCCACTGTGATACAAGCTGGGTATCGTGGTTTCAAGACGAGGAAGCGTCTTAGAGAAGAATCGTCAACTAATTCAAATACTGGTAAGATTGGCAATGATATTTTCCTTTATTCATTATTTCTTGCCCCAGCAGTTTGGGACAATTACTCGAGTAAATGTGGAACGGTCAAGAGTGATCAGAAGCTTAGCCACGAGTAAATTACTCATGAAAGATTTTATCTCCAGGAGTCAATCATTCATGAAACATTTATAGCCATGAGTAATTGAAAAAATATATACATGTTTTTATTCTATTTAATCTAATATTTTTTGGAGACTTTACCCAACGTTTTATACTTACCAAAATCATTAAATAAATACACACACACACACACACATATATATATATATTATGGCAATACAATTGGTACATTGTTATTTTGAAGGGAAGGGGGGCCTGGAGAAAGGGCAAAAATTTGTCTGTCCTATCAGATCGGCAATTTCTCGACCAAATGGTATGAAATTATCAATTTTGGAAACAAAAATAGGTCACTAAAACCTTGAGGCTCTGGAGGCTTGTTAGATTTGATACTATCATTTTTGCTGAACATTTTTTAATAACAGAATTTTTGCTGACTGTGGTACTTGGTGCAATTGGTGCTGGTTTTGTGATATTTGATTGGCTTCTAGTATTGATTTATTTTTCTCGGCTGTTTATTTGGATTTATTTTGTTCGGCTGACAATTTAGATTTTGTTGATTTATTTTTTTCTTGCTGGCTGGGTTGCCCGCTGACCCGAGGTCAGAGTTTCGGTGTCGTTTTTGAAGTGAGCTTCTTTTCAGTTATTGCTAGTGAGTTTCGCTAACTACTGAAAATGGTGTACCGTCTGAATCTTTGTATGAAGAGTTCTTTTCCAAATTCATATTTTCCATATTAATGATATGAAGAAGAAACAATATATACGTATATATACCTAAATATTAGAATTACAAAAATAAATATTTACAAAATAAATTATTTAAAAAAAAGAAACTATTTACAAACTTACAAACAGAAATATATCAAAACATTTCTGAGAAAAAATAACAAGAAAAATAATTAAAATAAAACTGTCCCTCGGGGGAGGGGGGGAGATTCTTTTGCGAAATATTAAATTTCGAACTGAGACCAGCTGACAAGATAGAACTAGTATACAAACCATGGCTGTGAACTTAACGTAAGTAATATAAGAATGGCAAGCGAATTAACAGCCACTTGGGCTACCCAAACGAGCACCAATTTATCACATGTTCATTGTTAATAAATCGTAACTCACCTGAGTATCCGTGAACGCAAAAATGTTCAACTGTTTATAAATTCACTGTTGATAAACTATTACCACAGGGTTTTAACTATTAAGGTCATAACAAAGTAACAAACGCAGAGTGACATAAAAGTTATACTGCAGTTGCGGCCATGACAAATAAATAAAAAAGATAGCTTTAGGTAGTTATGTTCCATCTGGTATCTGTTCCATGTTTTTCCTTGCCTCTTATTCTGAAACTTTTTATTCCCATAATTCGTGATCCTGTTGAAAGATTTGTGGGGTTTGAAGGATATATCCAGAAGATTTGCGTGGAATGATTTTATGTAAAAGGTATTTGACATCAAAGAGGTTAACTGCTTAAGATGGCAAGAATAGTGGGATTGGTGAGGAGAGGAATTCTTCTACTTTTGCAGTATGTGTGGGATGGGAATTCAGATGAGGAGTGAATGTGCAGGAGAGGTTTCTGGCCAATTTCTTAACTTTGTCTTCATTAGACGCTGCCCGGGAGCCATCGCTTCGATGGAGCGGATAGGAAATATGATGAGATTTTAGGAGTTTTTTTGGTGATATTCCAGAGAAAATTGTCATGAACAGACAGAGAAGTAAGGTAGGAGATGAAGGATTAGAATATGAAGATAGATCATTTCTGCTTTAAGTAAGATAGGAGCAGCGTTCGATGGGATGATTGGTACGTTGCCATAATAATCTGTCACGGTGTTTGGTGGGGATTATTTCTATGAGGTTAATTATTTTTCTTAGGGGTTCTAGAGAAATGATTTGAAAAGGAATCTATCCATATTGCTTGTTGAATGGTGGTTGTAAGGGAATGTACGGCATTGTGAATGTCTTCTAGGGTTTTCAAGGTTATTCTGAGGTCAATTTTATCGGAAAGGATTTGATTAAAGAATTTCCAGTTAATTGGGCTTCTGATGAAAGACGGTGGAAAGGGTTTAGGAATCGGAGGTAGACATAATTGGAGTATTAATGGACTATAATCTGAGTAAAGTTCATTTAGACGGGGCTAAATTACTATGGATGAATAATTCAAGGATATCAGGATTACGGTTAGGATCTGTAGGCCAGTAGATAGGTGATTTGAGAGGAAGGAGGCTGATTGATTGATTGCAGACAACAATACTCTACCAGAATTTGTGGTTCTTGAATCCCATTGTTGATGCTTGGCATTTAAGTCTGCACCCGGGAAGAAATAAAGTCCTAAGGAGTTTAGGAGAGAACTGAATTGGATATTGAATATGGATCTGTTAAGAGAATAATGCTGATTAAAGAATGACCGGTAAAGAGAAGGTTTTGATTACAATAGCGGTAGATTGTAGAAAATCTTGACAGCAGTAGCGGCATTTGCTCTACCGTCAGGACTGTTAGTACGGTATGTTATATATTGAGGTATTCTTAAAAGATGTTTTCTGGTCAGTCGAGTTTCTGCAATTAGGGCTATGTCACAGTTTTTGCTCAATAGTAAAGCTGTTACTTCATCAACTTGATTCATAACACCATTCGCATCCCGAAAGAGTGATACGAGTAGGATAATAAGGTATTAGAATTTGATGAAGAAAGATGCTAACAAACTGCTGGGATCTGTGGCGTTTGAGGGAGGAGGAATATGAGGAATTTGTTGTTGATCTTATAACTTATCCCCTCCCCCTCTCCCAACATATTTTATTGCTCACATTTACTAAAAAACAGAGGGAGTATTAGAATTAGTAGAAGTAGAAGTAGAATTAGAAAAATCGTGTATCATACACAATTACACTTGCTGCTGTCTGTTCCATGTTTTCCCTTGCCTCTTATTCTGAAACTTTTTATTCCCATAATTCGTGATCCTGTTGAAATGTGCCCCCCTCTCTCAAAAATTTAAAAACCCATCAAAATATGCCCCCCTCAAAAATATTAATGGTGCAACTTGAGCTATAAAACCCCCTTCTGGGCATCCCTGGCTTCTCTGTTTTCATACTTGTGTAGTACAATCTTGCGATTTCATATTTTTTTTTCTATATTGGCTCTAGGTCCACGAAAAGTAAAGGTAATGGGACTTTATTTCTTAGCCCTGGCTGCTCATTATTCTCCTTCAAAACTTTGGTTACCTGACGTGCTTCGAACCCAAGCGTCGTTAGTTCTCCTTTTCTCAATTCAATGGGGCTGAGAAGTGCAAATTTCTTATCATTACTCGAAATGCTTTCTCCTGTCTCAGCTGATACGTGTGAAAATTAGGTTTAGTTTGTAATAAGTATTTCCCTATTTTCGATAAGTTTCAGCTGTATCTTGTGCTAATTTAATGTCATTGGTCCTGTTGATACAGAACTAACTGCCGGAACAGATTTTATTTAGTTGGATACAAAATAACTGAAATTTGTATATTAATAATAATATATAAATATTTTTTTACAAATTTCGGAAAAGGCCTTAATTCTCTGAATATTGCTGTGGACTCCATTAGTTCTCTTCTTGAAGCAATTGGTACTGGTTTGGAGTAAAGAGAGGGGATTGTTCAACGACTTATTGTGAAGATTTACCTGGTTAAGGCTGAGGTTCAGATTCTTAAGAACTTACTATGGTCATTGAAGGAGTTTCCGACGAGTTCTTTATTTAACGGGTGAACCACGAGTGCTAAAACCATCTGATCGATACCTCTTAGTAGACGACTTAGAAGACATTACTTGCTGATAAAACCGCATACATCTTTTTTTTAACGTGTGACGACACACATAAAATAAATATCAACTGTTCTAATGTTCCCTTGACCTGTTTTAAGCTAATATTCACAGAGATTCCTAAGAAAAATAAGTAAATTCTGGGAGCCGAGATGGGAACACAACCTCATGCTTCAGCTGATCAATCAGCTTTGAAAAACTAAAACTAAAGAGGTGAAAATGATAACTAAAATGACAATGGAATGATGAAGGAGGGACCAAGCAAGTGAGGGAATTTTGGCATATGCTATAAGAAGAAGAGGAAGGCAGCTGATAAGGTGGAGGTATGATGTAACAAAGGTAGCATGCATAAATTGGATGGGTAAAGCAGATTCAAGAAAAATTGGGGGAGGCTTTTGCTCAATATCGGGCTCAGTTCAGAAATTAACAGTTTTTATTCTTTTAGTGTCTTGTAGATTTTGTTTTGTTTTTACAGTTTATACTCAACATATAGAACGATAATGGGGTTCAAGTAAGTGGAGGAATAAAAAACACCAAGGAACAACGAGGCAACACCTCCATGCATATGTATATGAATATTTGTGGCTGCGGGTCCACAGAGAAGAGGATCGCTTCCTTGCTATTTTAAGTAGCATTAACCTATTTAGTTTTTCAAATTAAATAGAAACTTATAAAATAAAAGTGTCGTTATTATTAAACTTAGTTTTATCTACTTCAATTTCCATAAATATGAATAGTAGGTATAATCAGTGTTCAAATGGTTAACAATGGCGGATAGCAGCAGGAGTGCCCAGAAGAGGGTTTGAAGGGTTGATTTGAAAGTTTTTGAGGGAGGAGGGGCATATTTTGATAGGTTTTTGAATTTATGAGGGGGGGAACATTTTGATGGGGTAATGAATTTTCAGAATGGAAAGTTTCAGTCTAAGTAACAAGGGGAAAACATGGAACAAATCCCAGCAAGTGTAATTGTATACGGTCTACGATTTTTCTAATTATCCCTTCACTTGCTCTGTTTTAAAGAAAATATGAGCAATAATATATTTTGGTTGAGAAGAGGATAGATTTTTGCGCTATCGGCCTTAGGAGTATGGACACAAGAAAGAAACAATCTTAGAAGTAAATCTTTTTGTCACTACGCACCTCTCTCCCCCTCTACTCACTGCCAATCTTATCTTAGACAGACCCTACCTAGATTTGAAAGGAGTGATATCATTGGGGCAACAAGTCGATATTGATTCAATAATATTGACAGTTTAAAGGGCTCTTAAAAGAAAACCATAAAAATTAAATCAATAAATAAATTTTTAAAAAATTATAAGAAAATTTTATAACTTTAAAGAAAAATATGAAACCTTACATAAAAAGTCACTTTTCTTAGAATCAACCATATTTAATATGTTTAAAATTGAAGTGCTTTAAAACTGTTTATAATTTCAATTTGTTTGCAGATTTATAAATTTATTTCATTTTTGTTGCAGATTTGTTACCACTGTGTAAAAAATGAAATTTTAATAGACAATTCAATGTGTTTTGTTTAAGAAAATAAAGTTAGTAAAACTTATTTGTTTTTTAAAAGCGCTATAAGAAATTTTATATTCTATAAAACGTTTTATGTTTATTTAAGATTAAAAGAATTATAACTTTTAATTTCTTAATTTAAAAAAAAAATTAATTTGATTTGCTTATACTGTAATTAACTACTGCAATGTTATAACTTCCTCAGAGAGAATATTTTATAAAATTATGTAACTAATTTTTTAATGTTTTTTTCAGGAACTGTTGAACAAGAGTACATTGATAATGAATCGAGTGGTTTCAAAATTTCTGTAAAAGATGATGGTGAATCAATTAACTCAGATTCACAATCAGATGATAAATCAGAAAAAGATCTTAATGATTCTGCTAAAAAGATTCAAGCTGGGGTGAGAGGATATCTAGTAAGAAAAAAACAAAAGGTGGAGAGAGATGCTGCAGTCACAATCCAATCTCATTTTAGAGGATTTAAAACCCGCCAACGCTTGAAACAGGAGTCTACATAAACTTCACCTGATTGAATCTAATATATTCTTCACATATATTTTTATATCATTAATTAATAATTTTTTTTTGTAATCACATTGTTAATTTAATGTAATTCAAGAAAACCTTATATTATTAATCACTCAATAGATGAATAACCAAATGTTGAAATGTTTTGTCTTAATATGTAAGTTGTTCCTTAAATATTTTAAGTGTTAATAATTAACATTTGGTTATATAATGTCTAGTCAGTTTTTATGTATACCTTTTATCTGGCACCTTCTGTGCTTTACAAGTAAAAAATATTACTTAGCATCACTTTATTTGTTATGTAACTTTTTAAAATGAATTTTGGTGAACAGATGATTGAATGATTGAAATGTTTTTTGTTTTTTTAAACTTATTTAAGGATAATTTATTATCATTTGGTTGATAAGATGATTCAGAATCATAAATTAGATATAGACTAATGTACTGAAAAAGTTTATATCAATTATTATTATTTTTAATTTTACTCCAAATTAAATAAAACTATAAAGAAATATTTTTAATATAAGAATCAAACTACTCCAAAGAAAAAATCGCACTCATGGGCAATATTGTATCTACTGTGTTATAGTGTGTAACAATTAAAATTAAAAAAAAAAAATTATCAAAGCAATGACCAATATATCTACTCTCATTCTTGTTCATATGTATTCTACAAGAAGTTAATGTGAATCATTGCTTATTGCCTAATACAATTCTAATTCACATAAAATGTATTTTCATGTTTTTAAATTATCAGTGTTGATAATAAAATTTGACAACAATTTCTACTCAAATGCAATTTTTTTAATAATATTTTTATACATTTTGGTTTTTAACAGAGCTCACAACAATCAGGACCAACTTTAGAATTGCCATTTCTTTGGCTAGCCTAACATTTATATGCACAGACAAAGACGCACACACACACACACACTCACACACACACACAAACACACACCCACTCATGCACACACGTAAGCGCACACACACACATACACACACAAAGAAACACAAATATATATAAATATTATTATTGTTGTTATTTTTATTTTTTCTATCCAGCCTAGTAAACTAGATTTTTTTTTTATTTGTTGGATAATGATCAGAGATAATAATACCTTTCTAAATTAATTATTTATATATTAACTATGTAAAAACCATTGAGTAATATTGTACAATGAGAAGTAGAGAGTAACATATGTTTATATCTATTGGCTGTGAAAAAGGAATAAATAAGGCAATTACCATAAAATTACGCTTGCAAATATGCACAGAAATATAGGTACATAAGGTGTTCATAATGTATTGTCTGTATAATTTATAATTTAGCTGCTTATACATTTGATCATAATAAAATATAGTTATATATTTATTTATAATCTGTTAAATGGAGGTATCTTTGAAAGATAACATTTAAGAATTACTCCCTTATTAAACATCTTATTAAAATATTAAATAGTTTCTAGTGATTTTTTATACTAAAATTTTATTATCCTAGATTCCATTAGTTTTATCATTATGCTAATACTCTCTAAAATTAGAACAAAGGACGTACTCCTACATTTTAGGGAATTGTTTTGATATATATTTTCATTTTTCAATTTTTACTTGATTTGTTTTTTTAGATTTTATACCGATTGTGATGATATTAATTAATAGTAAGTAATAAAGGGTGTATTACATTTTTTTCTGTGCCATTTGTGTGTCTATACCATTTTAATCTCAAATATTCTAAAAAATAATCATGAGGAGGAGAGTATAATACACTTTTGATACATGAGGATTCAAATTTAGCTTGAATAATTTTCTCATTTGTTTCAATCAGTGAAGAATGTTGGTGAAAGCGGAATAATAAAGTTAATGAAAATTTTAATTTATAATATCATAAACTATATCATATCTCAATAATGGGAAATACCTAATAGGAAGATAAAAACCAGATGGATAGAACCATCAAAAATGCTTAAAACTGAAAAGTGTTAGTCCAATGTAGACAGAGGGGGAGTATGTTGAAGTATTGCTCGCTTTGGTGGACAAGATTTAATTCCATCCTTAGTGGGTTGAAATTTATTTAATGTTGGGCCCACAGAATGAATTACCTTCTCACTCAGGTTAGAATAGGTTTTGTTGCCTGTGCCAGTACATTCCTTCCTCTTCAAATAATACATATGCACATGCTTGTATTGCTATATTTTGATAGCAGTGTTTAGTAAATATAGAGTGAGTATGAAAGAATAAATATGTCTATTCAAAGATATTTGTATTTATTTCAAAATGGCTAAGCAACAGTTATAATCCAAAATATAAATTCCAAGTGCTGAACCATGTAAAAACCAATAAAAAAAATAGCCAATAATCATATACAATAATAACACCTCTCAGGTCAACAAACAACATCAGGTGGTGAGAGGTTACTAATATATTTGTCACCGAAAGTTTTGTAAAATACCGTTGCAAAATAATGTATCTTCAATGTGAACCAGGTTAGAGAAAAGTCCATCGTGTATGGGAAATAGCTCTATATCTGCTTAGTGCCTCACACATTGGAATTTGCCAATACCTAACTGTCTTAGAGCTAATCGAAGAGTTGGATCTATCTTCTCCTTTCTCGATATTTTCCAGATTCTCTAAGCAGATAGAGCTATTTCTTTTTCTGCAACATTTCAGCAATTATTTCCTGCTAACTTGCCAATTCCTTTCATTAATTCTTTCTTGCTGGTAAATTCGCCTTCATCAGAATAAACCCCTATCCCCTTAATCTCATCCGAACTGACTCATCTCCCTTCTAGCAGCTCTTTGAAATATTCTTTTCATTTGTCTAATACATATTCCTTTCACCAAATAATGTTCCCTTCGTTATCCTTGTTATATTTTCAGAGATTCTTTCCTCGTTCCGTCAATATATGTTCACAATTTTCTGGTTCACTTTCGCGTTTTTCCCCCATTTTGAAACCAAATACTTACAACAACGATTTTCAGATACTTAGAAGAACGTTTAGTTTCGTTTCTTTCTTCTTTTTTTTTTTTTGTGCGGAGAGAATAAATCATTTACTATAAAAATTGTATAATTGTTTATGATATGGCCCAACCTCAGAACAAAATAAAGGAAGTAAAAACTGAAATTAATTTTTTTGAGTATTGATATATGATTTTTGATAAACAGTTCGGTAACTATTCATTATATGGCATTTAGATTAAGTATATATTTTAATTTATCTAAAAGATAATATTATAGTACATTTTCGGAAAGTACATTTAATTTAACTAACCTCTAAAAATTAATAAGAATGCAAAAAATGTTAAATTTATAATAATTACTGAACTAACTTTTATTACTATAAATATATAATTTTTACTATAGAAGCCATCTTAAATGTCCTAGAATATAATAACATAAGAACTTAAATAAAAATTGTATTATTTTTTTTGACAATTAAATTATTATATTAATATCTGCTCGTTAATACGGTGCTTGTGATTTGTAGATCAGAGATCCCTAATCTAGAGGAATATATTAATTTGGTTTCGAACTACTGTTTAGCATTCACAATGAAAGCAGTGGTAACTAACTGAAGACATTCAGTTAAGACAGTTTTAAGAAATAGTGGTTGACTTAAAAATACAAAAATAAGTATTGGTAAACAGCAGAGGTGTACATCCCTCCCCCAAGGCCGATGGTGTATAAATCTTCCTCCCCACTCCCAAGATATTTTATTCCTCTCTTCTTCTTAAAAACAGTGCAAACGAAAGTAGAATTTAAATATTCGTCGATTATATACAATTACACATACTGCGGTATGTTACATGCTTCCGCTTGTCTTTCGATTTGAAAATTCATAACCCCGTCGAAATGTGCCCCCCCTCAAAAATTGAAAAGACCGTCAAAAAGTGCCCCCTCATAAATTTTGATGGCGCAACTTGCATTCTGGACATCTCTGGTAAACAGAATCCTATGCTCTAAAAGAGAGAACTACAATAATATTGCACGGCTTGAGTTTCTGAAGCACACGGCATATTCATCAATCAACAGATGATATTTTTAAAAAAATTATGGTGTGTGCGTGAGACCATTCAATAGAAATTAAAACATCAACAAGGCAAGGCAGGATTAATGATATGATATATATATATATATATATATATATATATATATATATATATATATATATTTTTTTTTTTTTTTTTTTTAATATTCAAAAACTAATATCATTTACAAATTATACAATTATAATTGTGTATAAACATTCGTAACAATGAAGTGTCAATTAGTACAATTAGGCAATAATGCAGTACTGGTGCTTTTTAAAAAAAAAAAACTTCTGCAACGGGGATCAGTGATTTGTCGAAAAACTATGCGTGAAACAGAAAATCGAATAGAAACACTTATTTTTTATTTTTACAACTAGGTAATTAAAAAAATATATCTGTAATGGCTTCTGAAAATTTGTTTCTGAATTCTCTATGATATTTAAATTTTGAGGTATTTTACTCCAAATCTTCAAAACAATCGTTATTATTTGTTTTTTTGGCACTGGGTCATTCCATGCCAAACCATCCAGAAAAAATACAATTTATAACCCGCCCCCCTCAGATCTAACTAAAAAAATTTAAATATTAAGTAAATATACATATAAGTAAAAATAATAAATTTTAGCCAATTCTAACGAGTAGTTTCAGAATTATGAGCATTAACTTTTGATTAACTTTGAATTATGAGATTTGAACTTTTGGGATCAAAACCAGCATGTACTTGTTTGGTTTTCATTTGTAAAACTGATATTTATTGACCAAGAAGTTTCAAAATTTATTTGAGTTTGGAGAGTTTTATTACACTTTAAACCGAATATAGTCAATCTAAATTTACCGATTACAAATAAAAATGAAAATTGCTTGCATATCTCTCCAAATATCCTAATACAACCTTATATGACTGAAAAGAGCATGAACTTTTTTTATCAGAATATGAAGTAATATTTAGAGTTATAACAGATTTATTATAATGTAAATCAAATAAATTTTTGCGTGATGCGGAAATGGTGCGCTAATCCATATCGAAAAATACCTGTAGTTAAAATCTCTCCCCGAATACCCTAATAAAAACATATGTTAATGAAAACAGGATGAACTTCTCAATCAATCGAAAAAATAATATTAGAGAATTTTTGAGTTTCAAGAGTTTTAATATACATTAAACCTAATACAGTAAATTTTAATTTACCAGTTACAAGTACAAGTGAAAATTGCTTAAATCTCTCACCAAATATCCTAATATAACCATATTATTATAATCATATTTTATCGTATTATGAAATAATATTTGTGGAATTTTGAGTTATTAGAGATTTATTATAATGGAAATCATATAATTGTTTGCGTGTTGCGGAAATGGTGTGCCAATCGGTATCGAAAAATAGCTGTAGCTGAAATCTATCTCCGAATACTCCAATACAACCATATATTCATCAAAACAGGATGAAATTCTCTATCAAATTAAAAATAATATTAGTGGGATTTTGGGTTCGAAAAGTTATATTACAATTTAAACCTAATACATTAAAATTTAATTTATCAGTTATGTTTATACAAGAAAAAATAGCTATAATTGCTCTCCGAAAAAACCATATATTACTTGAAACAGTACGCAATACTCTTCCAAATGATAAAATAACATTGAAGCCACTAGCGGATCCAGGATTTAATTTTGGGGGAGGGCTTCAGCCAGAAAGCTTTTTTTTCATAAAAATTACGATAATTACTTTGGAAAAACAGAAAGAAACAACTACCTATATGAAATGGTGTTTAAGTGATTCCTTAAGTCCTTTTAAATGTAATTACACGAACAATAATACTTTAAGAGATATTTTTTAATTTTTTTTCTCCAAAAAACATGGTTATATTTTACCATTTTGGGGGGGGCTTCAGCCCGAAAGCTCCCCCGTAGATCCGCCCGTGAATGAAGCTATTTTGTATATTATCAGATAGAATGAGAAAATAGGAGAGATATTTGTATATGAAATGGATGGTAGGTGATTGTGCAGAGCTGAGAGAAGGGGGAGCTTTGTACTATGTGGGGGGCTTTGTCTATTGGGATATTAGTAAATCAGATTTCGGCGTTTAGCGAAACGATGATAAAATTTTTTGCGATATGGAGAGAAGAAAAGTCATGTTTGAGGTGAAATGAATTATTAACGTCATAAGGATTATTGTTGTTAAGTTGTTAAAGAGAGGATAGAATAACTTTGCTGAGTTTAGCTGAAGGGGCGTTTATATTGAAAAAGGAGCAACGGATTTTTCTTTTAAAATGTAGATCTAATCAAGCCTCTCTTAAATGTTTCGAGTACCGTTTTAATAATTTCCATGTTGTCACCTCATTAAAATATTATCTTAACCATTCATTATTAAATTAAAAAAAAAAACTCTGTTACATTTAAAAATAAGAGAGATCCAATAATTAAAT